ATTGCCACAGAGATACCACAAAGAGTCAGTGTGGTGTAGTGGTCTGCGACCAGGATTCAAGTCCCTGCATAACCATGAAATCTACTGGGTGATTTTAAACACTTTACACTCTCTCAACCTCAGAGTAAGGCAATGGCAAATCTGGGTTGCTGTAAGTTTTTCACGCAGTATGGTTATGTTCCAGAAGCATTTTCTCCTGACATTTCGCCTGCATCTATGGCAGGCATCCTCAGAGGTTGTGAGACCTCACAACCTCTGAGGATGCCTGCCATAGATGCAGGTGAAACATCAGGAGAGAATGCTTCTGGAACATGGCCATACAGCCCAAAGATACATGTTCTGCCCAGGGGCGGCTCAACCATTACGCCAAGTAAGCATTTGCAGTATAGTTGATTTTTCCCAGGGGCGCTCTTGGGGGAAATAGACCTTGACATATGCGAGTTGTAGTTACTGGGATGTATAGTTCACCTACAATCAAAGAGCATTCTGAACTCCACCAATGATGGAATTGAACCAAATATGGCACACAGAACTCCCACGACAAACAGAAAATATCTATCAGTGATTGGTTGGGGGCGGGGGGGGGGGCGCCAAAATACTGTTTGCTTACCGTTGAAAATTACCTAGGGCGCCTCTGCACAGCACCTCCCACAAACTTGGCACAAAACCCCACCACCCCCCACCCCCTCAAAAAAACAAAATATTGTTTGCTTACCGTTGAAAAATACCTAGGGTCGCCTCTGACGGCAACCCATTGATTCCGGCCATGAAAGCCTTCGAAAACACAATGGCAAACCTTTTCAGGATAAATATATATTCGAGATTATCTGCCTTGATATTCTGGGTTATATGGCTGTGTGGAAGGATCCCTAGAAAATCCATTTTCCTCATTCACCCCCACAGCTTTTGTGAATATTTCAGCTAAGCTTAGAAGGAACAGAAAGACTTTAGGATAAGTTGCAGATGATGTCCTTGAACCTGCAAATCAAAATGTGCCATGCTTTTAATGTATTTTGTGTATTTTAGTAGGCCCAATAATTATCACAGTTTTGTGGAGTTTGGGTTTTGTTGTACTATGCTTTAATCCTGTGAGCTTGGCTCTATTAAATCATAAGAGGAATCCGAATTAATGTCATGCAAGGCACTTGCTCTACCACTCGGTTGTGACCATCACTCCTAAAACAAGTACTCAGTGGGTCATGATGAAATGAAGAGGCCCAATAGGTAACTCAGCAACTGAAAAAGACAAGGCAATTTCTCTAGCTTTTTTTTCTGTGTCAGGAGCTACTTGAGAAACTGCAAGTCGCTTCTTGTGTGAGAGAATTGGCCGTCTGCAAGGACGTTGCCCAGGGGATGCTTAAATGATTTGATGTTTTACCATCCTGTGGGAGGCTTCTCTCATGTCCCCTCATGGGAAGCTAGAGCTGAGAGGGGAGCTCACCCCGCTCCCCAGATTCGAACCACCAACCTGTCAGTCAGCAGTCCTGCCGGCACAAGGGTTTAACTCATTGTGCCACCGAGGGCTCCATAATCCAGCAATGGTAGACAAGGATGGTTGAGCTAAGTTGAGGGAGAAAAGTATTAGAACAATCGAATCTGAGGGCCCTTCCACAAAGCCCTATATCTCAGAATATCAAGGCAGAAAATCCCACAATATCTGCTTTGAACTGGCTTGTCTGAGTCCACACTGCCAGATATCCCAGTTCAAAGCAGATATTGTGGGCTTTTCCGCTCTGATATTCTGGGATATAGAGCTGTGTGGAAGGGCCCATAGAAATGTGGAATTGGAAGAGACCCCCAAGGGGCATCCAGTCCAGCCTCCTGCCATGCATGAATAGAAAACCACAACATTCCCAACAGACGTCCATCCAACTTCTATTCTAAAATCTATGTCACCATACTCTGAAGCAGTGTATTCCAATGAAACAATTCTTACCATTGGGAAGTTCTTCCTAATGATTAGGTGGACTCTGTTTTCTTGCAGTTTGAATCCCTTGTTTTGTATCCTAGTCTCTGCTGCATCTTCAATAGGACATCCTTCCAAATATTTAAATATGGCTATCTGTCCTCTCTTAACCTTCTCCAGGCTAAACATGTCCAACCCCCTAAGCCGCTCTTCATAAGGTTTGGCTTTTATACTTTTTACCATTTTAGTTGCCATCCTCTGGACATGTTCTAGCTCGTCAATATCCTTCTTGAATTGTGGTACCAAGAATGGGAGACAGTATTCTAGATGAAATTTGACCTAAACGAAACAGAATGGGACTATTACACTATGTAGGGGCGGTTCAACCCATTACACAAAGTAAACATTTGCAGTATAGTTGATTTTGCCCAGGGCGCTCTTGAGGGAAAATAGACCTTGACATATGCGAGTTGTAGTTACTGGGATGTATAGTTCACCTACAATCAAAGAGCATTCTGAACTCCACCAATGATGGAATTGAACCAAATATGACACACAGAACTCCCACGACGAACAGAAAATATATATCAGTGATTGGGTTGGGGGGAGCGCCAAAATACTGTTTGCTTACTGTTGAAAATTACCTAGGGCCACCTCTGACACTATGTAACACAATTTCCTGGGTTACTGCCATTTTCTAATTGGTTCTATCATAAAAACATGTAAAAGGTTTATTAAACTGCAAAAACTTTGTTTTTGCAGGACATCCTGCAGCACATTTTGCTATAGCTTTTCAATGAATATCTCCTCAGTCTCAAACAATTCAACATAGTGGCCACAAAAATGAAGTTTCTGGAGTATAACAACTACTTTCAAAGTAAGTAGTGGATAATTAAACAGGAAATAATACTTTCAAACCCGGAACAGATTTTTTTTTCAAATTTTGTTACATAGTATTATTTTCCTCCATAAATAAATAAATAAATAAATCTGTAAGAGCCAACCCCTACCTCTAGGGTTTCCCATTCCACATATTAGTGCCATATCTGCAGCAATGAAGGCATATGGGGAGGATGCATCATGTGACCGACACTTTCTACTTGCCTTGATCTTAAAGGAAAAGTGTAGTTGTAGGTGTCTTTGGTGTTTGGTTTGATTTCCTGGAAAGAAGTGATGAGTGGAGTGCCGCAGGGTTCGGTCCGGGACCCGGTTCTGTTCAACATCTTTATTAATAACTTAGATGAAGGGTTAGAAGGCATGATCATCAAGTTTGCAGATGACACCTGTGTCTGTTTGCTTGTTTTGTTCTGTTAGAAATGTAATACAATTGACTGGTTGCCCAGACATGACAAATAAATAAATTTCCCTCCATCTAGATCAGGGCTCCTCAAACTAAGGCCGGGGGCCGAATACGGCCCTCCAAGGTCATTTACCCGGCCCTCGCTCAGGGTCAACCTAATCTGAAACAACTTGAAAACACACAACAACAACAACAACAACAACGCTATCTCATCTGCCACACTTCCTATTGAAATACTTTTTTTTTTTGGTCGTGTCAGGAGCGACTTGAGAAACTGCAAGTTGCTTCTGGTGTGAGAGATTGGCCGTCTGCAAGGACATTACCCAGGGGACGCCTGGATGATTTGATGTTTTTATCATCCTTGTGGGAGGATTCTCTCATGTCCCCGCATGAGGAGCTGGAGTTAATAGAGGGAGCTCATCCGCCTCTCCCCGGATTCGAACCTGCGACCTGTCGGTCTTCAGTCCTGCCGGCACAGGGGTTTAACCCACTGCACCATCAGGGGCTCCATTGAAATACTGATAAGCTTATATTTGTTAATATTATTTTTCATTTTAATTATTGTTTTGATTTTAAGTGTTCTTTGCACTACAACTAAGATATGTGCAGTGTGGATAGGAATTCATTCATATATTTTTTCAAATTATAATCCGGCCCTCCAACAGTTTGAGGGACTGTGACCCGGCCCTCTGTTTAAAAGGTTTGAGGACCCTGATCTAGATACTGGAGTTTTATTGATGCACCCTAGAATCACATTGGTCTTTTTAGCTGCTGCCTCACCCCGATGACACATCTTCAGCTTGTGATTTACTTCCTAGGTCTAGATCCCTGTTACAAATGAGATTTTTCCTAATTCACCCCATCAGTGTGAATTAGAATTGGTTAAAGTGAAAGTAAGTAAGTATGAAAAATATGTGCTCACACAGTATTTCCACCCACCATTTGGCACCTAGCTTTCCCTACAAGTCCTGCCTCCATTCTCTATTGGCTCACTGCACATAAAGGGGAAATCACCTTTCCCAAGAAATCAAGAGCAAAGTTGTCTTTCTCAACAATATTCAGCCTCGCAATGTGGTGGAGTCTCCGGCCCCTTCTACACTGCCATATCAAATCCAGATTATCTGCTTTGAATTGGATTATATGGAAGTGTAGACTCATATAATCAAGTTCAAAGCAGATAATGCGGATTAACTGATTTGATAATCTGCATTATATGGCAGTTTAGAAGAGAATTCCTTCTTTTGAGGTTTTAAACAGAGGCTGGATGACCATCTGTCATGAGTGCTTTGATTGTGTGTTCCTGCATGGCAGAAGGAGCTTGGTCTGGATGATCTTTGGAGGTCTCTTCCAGTTTCAAGGTTCTGTGATCTTTAGAGGCCCCTTCTATACTATTTATAAATCCAGATTATCTGCTTTGAACTGGATTATATGCATCTATACTGTCATATAATCCAGTTCAAAGCAGATAATCTGGATTTATAAATAGTATAGTGGAGTAGAAGGGGCAAGAGCTACCCGGATCTATGCCTATAGGCTGCTGTGCCCTTTAACATTCTTCCATTGCATTGCCAGGAGGGGGAGCCATTACCTCATTATTTACTTTGCTATTAAGGTGACCTTTGTAAAGTGTGAAACTACCTAAAATGATATATGTTTTTGTTCCAGGTGTGTTGGACCTAAGACAAGTCTCATTTCATCCTCCAGATGACTACTGAGACTTTGTCATTGCCTCCCCCTGCTACCGGGGTTTGCCACAGAAACCAAGAAAGCTCTGAGGTGGGCATATTTGGGGACATGGTGGAGAGCAGGGACATGGCAGAGAATGTGCCCATAACCGCTACACCAGAGGATTCTTTGCTTGCCCCACTGGATGGTGCCAACAGTTCCCTTGCCAAAGACCAGGCACTGGAAGAGATGCCCTCTTCAATACAGGACAATGATGAGGTTGAGAAGGCCACCCCTTCTGTCACCATGTCTTCTGAAGAGGTTAAAATAGCAGATGATGTGAATCAGTTATGCCAAGAGCAGGATGATGGCCTCTCTGCTCATCAAGAGATGACAGCAGAACTCTCCACGGAACAACTGAAAGCAGAAGATACTATGAACTTGTTGGCTGAAGGGGAGGATAGCAACCATCCTGAGTGTCACAGCAAGCTACCAGATGTCTTCTCAGAGCCACAGAGTATTATGGAAAACTCAGTGCTGGAGAGGAAGGAGGAAGAGGTTGAGGAAGTGGAGCAGGGCAGGCAACACCACTATCATAGTGAAGACCCAACTGTGCCTGCCGACTCCATGGAACAGCTGGAAATTAACCAAGAGGCAAACAGTAGTCCTCTTGTTCACCATCACAGTTCCTCAGATGTTTCCCCTAAGCAACAGGAGTCTGACAACTCCTCAAGTCGCCTGGATGAAAATGAGGAAAGTGGAATCGTGGGAGATAGTCATGACCAACCACCAGTATCTCCTGAGAAACCAGAACTTGCCAATAGCCCCACACAAGCTATGGACAACCAGGAGAACAGCCAAATCGATTGTGCTGATGTGTCTTCGTCCGAGTCTCCCAAGGGATCGTTGATGGACACATATTCATCCAAGGAAGCAGGAGAAGGAGACTCATTTGGCTTCCCTAGCAACCTGTCTCCCAGTCCTGCTTCTCCAACTGAGTCTGAAAATCTTCACGAAGACTTGAAGCCAGACTGTCAAGAAAGTACAGAGGATGACAGTGAAGAAAGGACAGCAAGTGAACAGCTATCCCAGCCACAAAAGGATGAAGAATCTGAGAATAAACAGTTTTTACAGACTGGCTCAGGTAACAATCACCTTGAAAAAGAGGAGGAAGTTGCTCAAGATTCTGCTTGTACCTCAGCGGCACCTTCTGTGGCATTAGCAGACCCTCTTCCAGATGCTGACCCATATTGCCAGCAGAGGGCAGCAGAAACAGGTTCTTCCGACACGGCTGCCCATGCAGTGCCAACACAGTCTCCTGTGGCAACCGGGATCTTTGGACCTGCCCAGCAGGGCCTGGCTGCCGCATGCGACCAGGAAGGACTGGCACTTTGTGAACCAAGTGGAGCCGGCAACAACAGCGAACCCCAGAGTGAGGCTGGACCTGAAGCTGTGCTGGAGTCTGAGAACAAGAGTGAGGAAGCAACTGGGGACGCTGGCTCTGAAGAAGCCACCAGAGAACAAGAGGGGGTAAAGGATCTTTCACAGGTGGGAAACCTGGCAAGCAATCTTCCGCTCTTAGAAAGTCCATCAGCAAAAACTGATCCATCAGAGACCATGGTTCTAGCAAGCATGGAAGATCCACTTGAGGCCAGGGAACAAGCAGACTCTCAAGATATGGCCAGGGCTGCCATTCCAACACATGATGGTCCTGACCCAGCCTCTGCAGAACAAATGCTGCTGGATGCTAGAGATCCTGCAAAGGGTGAAGAGGGATTGAGTGCTGAGGAGTCAGCTTGCACCATACCCAGTTCGGACGAGCCCTCTACAATGGGCAGCTTGGACGGCCCCACAAACTGGACAAGGAATGCCTCCGGCCATCCAGAGACCCCAATTGAGCGGGAGATACGTCTCCATCTGGAACGAGAAGAACTTCTGCGCCGTGAGCGGGGTCTGGCCAGCCTTCGGGGCACCCAGGAGTATGTGGAGGTGCGCATCAGACCTTTTCTGAACCAAAGTGGGACGCTGCCCAAGGAGAAGGAGCGGCAATGGGCTGGGGCCCAAATGCAGCGAGAGATCCAGCGGGAATGTCGGCGGGAAGAGGACCTGGTGCAGCTTGGGAAGGTCAGAGGGGCCTATGACCGGGGCACACCACAGGAGCTCCAGGAGAAGAAGATGATGTTCGAGCAGCACACCAGCCCAGAGTTTCTCACCCCCAGGAAGCCAGCATGTGGCACTGCCGAAGGGACAAAGGGGCCTTCTTTTGCTGAGGCCAGCCGTGCCACCAATATGGTCATTCTGGACTCAGAGGTTCTGCTACGACCCCAGCAGCCCCCATCGGGGAGGGCCAGCCCCACAGGCAACCCCTTCTTCTGCTTGCGTGCCAAAAGTCCCCAGTCTCTGCTGGAGCAGGAAGTTCAGGAGGCCCAGGAACGAGAGCGGGAGCTGCAGAGGCAGAGGTACAGCCTGTATGGCTCCGTTTCACCCTGCCAGGCATCAGAGACCTCAGAGCAGGGGGAGAAGGAGGTCTCAACACAGGCAGGTGAGTGGTTGCGGAGAGGTGCATGGGGGGAAATGCCATCTTTTAGTCTCTTGGTATGCATGTCCCGGAGGTGGGGGGGGGGGGATTCAGGGCCACCTAATGAAAGGAACCAGCAGTAGATTTCAAAACAGATGAAAGGAACACCTTCATATAGCTTTGTGACCCTCCAGACCAGCATTTGTCAACCTGGAGATCGGGACCCCGGGGGGGGGGGGTGCAAGGGGTGTCAAAGGGGTCACCAAAGACCATCAGAAAACACAGTATTTTCTGTTGGTCATGAGGGTTCTGTGTGGGAAGTTTGGCCCAATTCTGTCATTGGTGGAGTTCAGAATGCTCTTTGATTGTAGGTGAACTATAAATCCCAGCAACTACAACTCCCAAATGACAAAGTCAACTCCCCCAGCCCCACCAGTATTCAAATTTGGACATATCAGGTATTTGTGCCAAATTTGGTCCAGTGAATGAAAACACATCCTGCATATCAGATATTTACATGACGATTCATAACAGTAGCAAAATTATAGTTATGAAGTAGCAATAAAATAATTTTATGTTTGGGGGGGTCACCACAACTTGAGGAATTGTATTAAGGTGTCGTGACATTAGGAAAGTTGAGAAACACTTCTCCCAACATTTCTTGACTGCAGCTACGAGCTATTGTCCAACAGTACCTGAAGGGCTACAAATAGCCCACTACAATTTAGGAGATCTTCTGGCATCAATTCTGCCAATGTGCATTGGCTTAGAGGACTACGAAGAAACGTAGGGTGCATCTATACCAGGCATGGGCAAACTTCGACCTCCAGGTGTTTGGACTTCAATTCCCACCATTCCTAACAGCCTCAGGCCTTTCCTTTTCCCCCCTCCATCGCCTGCGGGGGTGAAAAGGAAGGGGCCTGAGGCTGTTAGGAATGGTGGGAGTTGAAGTCCAAAACACCTGGAAGGCCAAAGTTTGCCTGCGCCTGATCTACACTGTAGAATTAATGCATTTTGGCATCCCTTTAACTGCCATGGTTGAATGCTCCAAAATCATGGGGGTTTGTATTTTTTACAAACACTTTAGCTTCCTCTCCAAAGTACAACTCCCAAGATTCCATAGCATTGAGCCATAGCTGTTAAAGTGGGGTCAAACTGCATTAATTCTACAGTACCGAACCCGCATTTCAGTATCACTATTGTGGCTCCATCCTGAAATCTGTGAGGTGTTTGAAATTCTCAGCCAGAAAGTTCTAGCACTTTACAAAGCCAAGATACTACAGGAGGCAGCCATGGTGGTTAAAGCAGTATCCAGGTGCTATAAATATAGCGTGAAAAAGAAGCTCAAAATGTTTGATCGATTACAAGTAATATACATTTCCCAAGGAAAACCTCCATGTTCAAGGGGTAGCATACCTTTGGATACCAGTTACAAATTCCAATTAACAGACAAGCATTGTGGTGTCCGAGCGCATATGATTAACTACTGGAGGCAGGATTTGAGAGTGGTGTACTTTTCTTTTCACCTCTTTCATTCTGGGATGATTTGTGTAATGGCAGAAAGGAAGACCTGAAATAAGGAATGGGACTCTCAACCTTTCAATGGCAATGCTCCAGAGAATTTCAACAGTGTGTTGTCAAAGGCTTTCATGGTCAGAATCACTGGGTTGCTGTGAGTTTTCCGGGCTGTATGGCCATGTTCCGGAAGCATTCTCTCCTGACGTTTCACCCACATCTATGACAGGCATCCTCACAACCTCTGAGGATGCCTGCCATAGATGTGGGCGAAGTGTCAGGAGAGAATGCTTCTGGAACACGGCCATACAGCGGAAAACTCACAGCAACCCAATTTCAATAGTATTAAATCTGTGACAATTCTCTCTTCTACACAACCATTAAAGACACAAGAGCCTTATCCTTTATTAAATCTAGAAACCTTACAATGAGGGAAGGAATGAGTGCTCTCGGGGAGATGGAGCGATATATAAATAAATTATTATAATTATTATTAATAATAATAATAATTATTATTATTATTATTATTATTAATGAAAGGCATCCAAAGAGATGGCTGATTTACTGTGTGGCCTGTCATTGACAAGTGCTTATTTCATGTTGTACAGTACACATACACACAAGTGCCAGGTTGTGCAAACAACTTAAACAAATCCTTGAGGCAGTAATACTTTCAGCGTCTCTAACAGAAATCACTGTAATCCAAGTACATTTATTCCCAAGATCCCAGACAGCAAATATCTGAAGACTGAGGACAGAAAAACTTATAGTAGGCCCTCTGTATCCACAGGTACAGCCATCCATAGCTTGAAACTGCTGAGCTGCTGAACTTGCTGACCAAAAGGTTGGCGGTTCGAATCTGGGGAACGGGTGAGCTCCTGCTGTTAGCCCCAGCTTCTGCCAACCTAGCAGTCGAAAACATGCAAATGTGAGTAGATCAATAGGTACCACTTCAGCAGGAAGGTAACAGTGCTCCATGAAGTCATGCCAGCTACATGACCTTGGAGGTGTCTTTGGACAACGCTGGCTCTTCGGCTTAGAAATGGAGATGAGCACCACACCCCAGAGTCGGACACAACTGGACTTAATGTCAGGGGACAACCTTTACGTTTACCTATAAGGATGCCATTTAAATGTGTCACTTTATATAATGAAGCTTGAACATTTACAGATTTTAGTATCCAAAAGGGGTCCTGGAATCAAACCCCAATAGATTTGAAGACCCCCCTGATAGAGTTAACCTTGGAAGATTGGTGAATGTGCCTTGGATGTCTGCGATCTTTCCTGTACATTTATATATACACATTATATGTGGAACAATAACACTATTCCTATGTGTAAATACATGTGCCTGTCCCAGTCCAACCCCACACAGTGCTGGAAGATCCCACCACAAGCCACTGGCTTAAATTTAAGTGAGATGCCCTGATTCATATTTATGTGTCCATATGTGGTGCACTGTGCATGCATACCGAGATACCAGATTTATGCCTACTTTGTATAGATGTACATTTAGAAATATGGACTAGACTGGGACTTTATACATCTACATATGTCACATCCCTACTCACACATGCAATTATTCATTCTCCATAGTTCAAAAAGACAGCAGTCAAAAAGGCACAAGCCCCCCCCCCCCCTTTTCACTGCACTGATGAGCACAGGGAAACGATGACAGATGTCCCATGTGGGCAGTAGCTGGTTTGATCCGGACCTAATCCAGCTGTCCACATTTCCCTGAAGCTGTAGGATACTTTGGAGATTCAAGCAAACTTTGGCACATCTCCCGACTTTGCCTCAAGCGGGCCAAAGCTGGTTTAAGCAAGGATAAAGTTATTATTATTATTATTATTATTATTATTATTATTATTATTATTATTATTATTTGAAACACAATAAGATGAGTCCACAGCAAGACACTCTGCTGACTGTTGTATTGGATCACACGTCGGACACTTCCCAAGTGTCTAGGACTGTGTGATGTATCGGCGAATAATGCGTGCAGATCCCAGTAAGGTGTCCTTCTGCAGGTGGCAGATGGTAATCTTGTCAGCGCCGATTGTGTTTAAGTGCAGGCCAAGGTCTTTAGGTGCTGCACCCAGTGTGCCGATCACCACTGGGACCACCTTGACTGGCTTGTTGTTGTTGTTGTTGTTATAAGCTGCAATCCTCACCAAAAGCACAGGAGCATTGTGAATTTATTTATTTATCGTGTCAGGAACAACCAGACATTTGTATTACATTTTTAACAAAAACAAACAAACAGACAGACAAAACACAAAGTTTGCAAGCTTGGTAGTTAATTAAATGTCCTTTGACCAGTATCTGGCCACTTGATGTGCCTCTGGTTGCCGCAAGGAGGTCCTCCATTGTGCATGTAGCAGGGCTCAGGTTGCATTGCAGCAGGTGGTCAGTGGTTTGCTCTTCTCCATGCTCTCATGTCGTGGATTCCACTTTTTAGTCCCATTTCTTAGGGGTCTCGTGGTGCCAGAGCGCAGTCTCGTGGTGCCAGAGTTCAGCGCCTTCCAAGTCGCCCAATTTTCTGTGTGCCCGGGGGGGGGGGGGGTCTCTCATTTGGTATCAGCCATTGATTGAGGTTCTGGGTTTGAGCCTGCCACTTTTGGACTCTCGCTTGCTGAGGTGTTCCAGCGAGTGTCTCTGTAGATCTTAGAAAACTATTTCTTGATTTAAGTTGTTGACGTGCTGGCTGATACCCAAACAAGGGATGAGCTGGAGATGTCACTGCCTTGGTCCTTTCACTATTGGTTGCTACTTCCCGGCGGATGTCAGGTGGTGCAATACCAGCTAGTGTAATTTCTCCAGTGGTGTAGGGCACAGACACCCCGTGATAATGTGGCATGTCTCATTAAGAGCCACATCTATTGTTTTAGTGTGGTGAGATGTGTTCCACACTGGGCATGCATACTCAGCAGCAGAGTAGCATAGCGCAAGGGCAGATGTCTTCACTGTGTCTGGTTGTGATCCCCAGGTTGTGCCAGTCAGCTTTCGTATGATATTGTTTCTAGCACCCACTTTTTGCTTGATATTCAGGCAGTGCTTCTTGTAGGTCGGAGCACGGTCCAGAGTGACTCCCAGTTATTTGGGTGTGAAGACCAACAGGAATCATATCAGGTTAAGTCCAGGTTTTCATGCCTGTGTGGACCTTCCGTTATACTGACTGGTTTAAGCTGTACTTTTCATTTTTCCACATAATTTCCCCTCTTTTACTCATTATGGAGCCAAGAAACAAGTGGGGTATGTAACACCTATTTTTAATAGCTACCATTCCAGTTTCTGAGATTTGAACAGCCATTGCCCACACATTCTTGATTTGGAAATGTTACTTTTGGTGACTACATGTCTTGGAACACTGCAACCATTATGTCTTGGGGTGGGGGCTGGAGGGGAGTGTTCTTGAAGTTGTACAAAATAGTAATTTTCTCTTTTCTCAAGCATTCCTGTGCTGCCCTAAGATCAAAACACTGACTGTTTCTTTGAAGCTGACATTC